CAAGAAACGGGTTTTCGATCTATATGTCAAAGGGAGAGATTGTAAGAAAATATAATTTGGCATTAATTGAAAATATTATTTAATTATCATATTTGTGTTTCTTGAAATAGGTTTCATGGATTTAATGCTTGAAGTGAAAGGGAAGATCTTCTAATCTTAACTTTCCATATTTTTGTTATTCTCCTATTGTATATTTGGATTTATTTATCTTCCTTTAGCTTGTAGGTAAAGGAAATATATTAGACTCATTAGGAGATTTTATATATTCACTTTCCTTATTTGGATATTCTCTTACTATATGTTATAGTATTTATTTTATTTGTAGGAAAAGGAAGTGAAATGATGATAAAAGGAAGATATTATTGTGAGATTAGAGAGCTGAAATCATGAGGAAGAATGCTGGAAAATCGAGCAAGAAAAGGAAAGAAATCGGCAAGAAGATATTTCCGAAGGTTCGCATGAAAATAAGGAAAGAAAGTTCGCATGATTGAAGAGAGAGAGAGAGACGTGTTGAAATCTGGAAGATTTGGGAAGATATTCGAGCATCATTATCTACAAGGCATGGAGATTGAGTTTCCAAAAGCTGATTAGAAGATCAAGTAAATTTGGAAACTCCAGATTTCTGATGAACCTGCATACCTTATATAGTTGTATATATATTAGTTTCATGAGCTCTAGTTTAGAACGAGAGATTCCATTATTCATTCAAAGAGTTTAGAGTTATATTCATTAAGAGCTCGTGAGTTTTTTATTATATTATATAGAGTGATCGGATTCCAGCGTGAAGGTTCATCGCTGGTAATTCAAGCAGTCAGTTTCTGTTTTACTTAGTGCTTGGGATGAGCATCTTCATACTGCTTGGAGGGATCCATATATGCAGTTCGTAAGTCCACGCCGTGGCCAGAAAAGTAATTAGGTAGGTGGAGTACAAAGTAGGTTAGCTTAGAGGGAGTCTATGCGTGTAAATCCTATTTGTACTTGTTGGCCAAACACTTGTTTAATGAAAGAGTTCTGAGGAAGAGTGGGACGCTCTCCTGAAAGTTCGTTTTTATTTGTTCGCTTCCGCAATTTTACATAAGCGTTCATTGTTTTTTAGTATCAGCGCGAATTTAGTACTCCCCCGAAATTTTCACATGCCAAATATTCTTGCCAACTAATTGTATCTTTTAACTCAAAGTCTTTTCTCTAACTTAATGATTTTTTATTTTGGTCCAATGACTAAATGCCAAATATACTTGCCAACTAATAGTATATTATAAATCAAAGTTTTATGAATTTTGAGTGTCTATATATCTTTGAGTGTAGACGTATAATAATCCTGTCGAGTTCTTGTAGACAATAAAACCAACTTTAATTCCCTTCCAAAAGCCGGAACAGCCAAGCAAGGAAAGTAAAACATTGTATTAATTGCATTTGCATAACTTTCTACTAAGAGGAACGTTACATGAAAATCATTTGTACAACATAAATTCCAAACAAAAGTCTCCCTCGTGTTCTTCCGGTTCAACACTCGCGTGCATATATCAAAACCATCTTTTTGCCTCATGAAACAATATAAATTGAACCACTTCCCAAATTATCTCCACATCTCAAGATATCAACTAATTAATCAGCCTCTTAATTATAAGAATTACAACATTAATTATAAGGAAAAAAAATGTCTAGGGCCACGACGTTTTTCGTTGTAGCAATCTTTTTCTTCTCCATGTGCTTTGCCCTAGCTCGCCACGTCCCCGCTGTTGATAGCCCAAATAAAGTCGAAGACAAAAATGAGGTTCGTTGAGCTATAATTCTTTGTTTATTTATTTATTTTGTTTCTTTCAAATTCTTGCAAACGACTGACCAACATTATATCCAGGGGTCCACAATATTTTAAAAAAAGTATTTTGATAAACGAATAAATATAATAAAATGTGGATTTAATTAATAATGTACTAAAAGATCTAATATTTATCACACTTCTGAGTCCTAACTCAATGTTTTTGGAAATATTTCTATCTATTCGCTTTAAATTTCGGCTTTTTTTAGTTTTAAACGCAGTTAATTAGTTTAGTTGGATTTTGGGTCTGTTTTGTGTACGTAATTATATATTTTATTGTTTTACATGCCTTTGATAACTTCTTATTAACAAATAGTTATGGAATGTGATAGACATATTCAATTAGATCCATTTTAAAATTATTTTTTGTTACATATTGAGCTTGAATAAAAAATATGTGCAGTCTCATTATCTTTTTGTTATAATGGGCATGAATTCTGTATATATATTAAAATTTGGGAGGTATATGGATCTATAAAGAGTAAACGGTACAAGTTAAGCTAAAATATGTTCATTAATTAGTCTCTGTAATTTTAAAACCGTAAACAAGTTCGTGTGTGTTGACAGATTCCGGCAAAGGATGTTAAAGTTAAGGACAATTGCCAAGGACTTGAAGAAGATGAGTGCTTGATTCGAAGGATTTTGACCGAGAACCTTGACTACATTTATACCCAGAATGAAACTCGTACCTGAGTTAATTAATATCATTATATTAGAACACAAATCTCATACCGTATTATATTTACTTAAATATTGAATGTTTGGCATACTGTTGTATGAACTCTAGAAACTTCTATAGTTGCGTGTTGGTAAAACTAGGGAAATTAAATATATGCGATAAAGGCATGTGCAAAATATGTTGACGATATATGCTATATATGTAATGTGGGTTTGTATAAGAAAGTATATGCACTAAAAAAAGTTTATATTATGTTGATCGGTTATATGATAATGTATCTTTATTCAGTTCAAAGTATGGGGGCGTATATAGCAATTTCATGAAGCAGGTACATATTTTAATTAGTAATTGGGATTTTCTGGAGTTAAATACAGATATGTGAAGTATTACATACTGACTCATTTATGATAATTTTACGTAATTTCATGGATGTTATCCAAATCAATGCCAAATAAAAAATCTGGCAAGGGAAATGATATAAAAGAAGCTACAAATGGGGAAAATCAATAATAATAATAATAATAATAATTTTAAAGTTTTTTTCTTTCTGTAGCAATAATAATACAAAATTATGTAAAAACGGGGAACATTAAACAGGCACTTAAGGGAGTACAAACATCCAAAAATTGAAAAAACTCCATAAAAGAGAAAAGCAGTATATAAAGGAGAACAATAACCAGATGCAGCTGGACTGAAAACTAAAAACTTGAAGAAAAACACACACATATACACACACAAAAATATAACAAACACCGACATTAACAGTAGAATACCACATTCCCTATAACTCTTGAGCACACCACTATGGCCACTCGAACCAACCAAACCCCACAACCGAGAAACTAAAGGATTGCAGCAAATCAAAGGCCCAGAACCAAAAATTGCGAACATACACAATTGCTAGACAAATCTGGCAAGAAGACAAGACTCAACCTAAATCTGAGCTCCCTCGGTTGAATCTCTTTTTGTGTCCTTCTGCAGGATGCTTTTAGAGAGAGAAGAGAGGATAATTTAGTGAGTTGGGCAACTTAACCTAATTATTTAATTATCTAGGATCAAATTGAATTAAAAAGGAAATAACATGGATACATAACACAACGTCATCGACGAATTTGGATTTTATATATAGTTGTGTCTTAATTATATGATCTTTTTTAAGATTTTAGCCATTTATGTAAAGTAACTAAACAGAATAAATTGACCTAATTAAGTAGCCATAAAGTTTTTAAATAAAATAACAATATATTTAAAAATGAACTGTCAAATTCGTCGATCAAAAATCTACTCCATGAAGCAATAGTGAACGAAACTATGAAATGTGCAGTGAAACACAAATTTAGTACATAAACAACAAACCACATTACACATCCAACAAAATTTCACTCAACTAAATCACAGACAATTGATAT